AAATAGGGAAGGGTGGAGGGTGTGAAGGGAGGGCTAGGAATGGGGAAAAAATAAGAACCAAGATGCATCATGTAAAGGTACAAATTCCCAATGAGAAATGTAATTGTGTTGTATACCTACAATGGACCAATAAAAGAATTTAATACAAAAAAAAAGAAGCCAAGGCTTTGAAATGTCAGCAGTGCCAAAGGACCGCTAATAGCAATGAATGACTTGTATTTTATGAGGGTGCAAAGGACATTATTGGGACAAGTAGCAAAATATAATTAAAATCTATCTACAGGGTAGATAATCCCACTGCATCATGCTATTTCCTGATAATCACAGTTGTACTGAGATCATGTAAGAGAACAGCTCTGCTTCTAGGAAGCACAAACTAATGTAAAAGGTGTACAATGTGGGTAACTTACAAAGATTCAGGAAAGCTATGCATGTGCAAAGAGACACAGTTATTTTATATGAGAAAGAGAGAGAGGAAAACAGAGAGACAGATATGAAGAGAGAACCGGATACAGTGGTACTTCAGTTCACAAACTCGATTCTCTCTACGATTCTGGTTGCAAACCAAATTGGACGAGAACCAAATCAAATTTCCCCAAGGTCAACACTGAACCTAATCATTGAATTGGATTCCGTTCTCATCCAACTCAATTTGCGACCAGAATCATAGAAAGAATCAAGTTTGTGAACCGAGGCAGCACTGTACAAAATAGTTTAAACACAGGAGCTCTACTATTCCACAGCTTTTCTGGACATTTGGTGTGATGTAAGAAGAACACATTAGCTAAGCACACACCTGTGATCCCAGCACTGTCGGAGGCAGAGGCAGGAGGACCGCAAGTTCAAGCCCCGTCTGGGCAGCTTACACTTAGTGAGACTGTGTCTTGAAATTAAAAAAAAAAAATGTAAAGGGCTGCAGGTGTGTGTAGCTTAGTACAAAGGCCCTGGGTTCAACCCTTAGTACTGCTAAATAAAAAATAAACAATACATAAATAAGTAAATAAGATGTGAGCAGAAAAGAGGCCCTCCCTCTCGTCGTCGTTATAAATGCATGGACATGTTCTTTAATTCCTTGTGCTGTACTCGGCTACTCCTTCTGCAGCTCCGGTCCTCCCAGCCACCACTGCCCTGAGCTGACACGCCCCTGCATTTCTTTCCTTGTTCCAGGGCAGGCTTGCTTTCCAGCACCATGTGACCAGATCCCCAGACCGCCTCATCTGTGTCCCCGGCTCTTTGTATAGTGTCTAGCGCTCCCCCTACATCCTCTCCAGGTCCTTGTCCCTGCTGGCCCATGTGCACACAGTAGGTGCTTGGTAAACACTCAGTGAAGGCCTGAGACTCCTACTTGGGAGCTCCTGGGATTCCCCACTCCGTTGATCATGATGCTGATTTACTGAAGCAATCAAAACTCCCAACCATGAATTTCCACTGAAATCCCAAGCTTCCCAGCCCCAAGACACTGCCCTTCAGGAAGAGCAACGGGTCCCCCAACCTATAGCGGCCCAAGGTCAGCAAAGGTGCCAAGCTGGATCCTGCCTGAGAGGGTCAGACAACATGACTGTAGAAGGTCCCTTCTCAGATTCTGATTCTGTTCTCAGATTCTGGTGATTCTGCCAGAGCAGAGGGCAAAGACAAAGGACCAGAGCAGGCCTTGGCAGCATCTGCTCCTCGGCCCTGGGATACCCTCAGCTCCTGCTCCTCCTCCCAGCTGGCCTTTGGGAACCTGCTCCAGGGCGTGGCTGTCCCCAACAGGTCCAACCATGCCCCAGGTGTGCTCTCATCCCTGCAGATCACCAGGAGTCCCCTGTGCCATCCAAGGGTCAGGGCTCAGGGCAGGGGCCAGTTCTGTCCCTAGTCACTTGTCCCAGGCATAGATGACCCAGGCCTGGGGCAAACACCTGGGGAACAGGACCCATCAGAAGGTCCCTGGAGGGTCATGCACCATGGCTGTCCTCAAGAAGTGGCAGCTAGGGGTACAATGTTTTAGCTTCATCAATATTAACAAACAGCTCCTACCCAGAGTAAGACGTTGAGGCGGGCTAGCCCTGAGCTGGCTCTCCAGAGCAGGGTTCCCAGCCTCGGCTCTATGGACCCGTGGGGACGGATGGGCCTCGCTGTCCTGGGGGCCAGGAGTCCACCCTCCCCGAGTCGTGACAGCCCAGATTGTCTCTGGACATTGCTGCATCTTCCCTGGGGGCAGAGTGGTAGGGGACAGCTGACTTGGGATTTGTCCCTCAGAACCCTGAGCTGGAAGACAGGTGCATTGGGCCATCAGTGGCTACACAGTGACAAAGCTGGGTTCAAACCCAAGCCTTTGTTCAAAGTCTGGGATCTTTCCAGACACAGCTTGCAATTTTTGTTTTTTAGTTAGAATCTTCGCAATGCTATCCAAGCCATCCCAGACCGGCCACAGTCTTAGCATGCTTTGTAGAGAGCAGTTCTGTGCACCAGAAACTTCACGGAGTCTGTAGCACAGCCCGCGTGGAGTACATCAGGCGACTACTTCAGGCCACCCAAGGGTCGCTCACCCTGGAGTCAAGGGCAGTCACTTGTGTGTCGGCACACCAGCCTTTGTGACCTCTTGTCCCTTCCAAAGAGAAAGGACAGGGCCCTCTCCCTGCAGCAGTTCTTCTCCAGCCTGTGCCTGGCCAGGAGCATTGGCCAGTTCTGGATCAAAGCTTCCATCACACAGGCTGGTGCAGAATCCAGCAGCCCAGGACCAGATGGGAGCAACCTATGATGACCGCTAAAGGCATGAAAGAGAAAAACCGCAGGCAAAAAAGACAGAGGACAGCCTGGTGCTCCCATGTTCTTTACTGGAATAAACAACAGCACACTGTGACGCACACCATGTGGTGTCTCCCCAGCCCGTGTCCCTGGCACGGAAGCACAGGGCTCGTGCTGCCACGTGCGGCAATGTGGCTTCCTGCTGTCAGCCAGGCCATTGTGATCAAAGCGTGGCCAGGGTTTTAGTGGCTTTAATTTAATACCCAGAAATTCAAAGTAAATGTTGCTTCAAACAATTAAAAGGATAATAAAATACTGGCACACAAAGGAGGAAAAGAGGATTCAGCTGTTTTAGAATAAAACTATTCTTTGTCGCAACCAATTAGGTTACCACGGGGCCCTGGGCTTGGTGCTTACCCAATACCACGTTGGGCGGACTCCAGAGCTGCAGGGGGACTTGCTGAGGCGGGGTCAGGCACGGAGCTACTCTGAGGAGGCTGGAGTGTGAGTGTCTCAGGGCTGTCGAGGCTCAGCCCCAGTGGGTGGACACAATGACCTTGCTGTCACCTGGTTCCTATGGACCAGACCCCGCTTCAGACAAAAATGAAAAAAATCACAAAAATGTGGCATCCAAGAAGGAAGAAGGCTCTAAAACTTGCTCATATTAGGAAACAAGAGAGAAGGGTTTGCCTCCCAAGGAAGCTCGGGGGCAGTGACCCCAAGATGCCCCGTGCAGTCAGGGCCCAGGGGATGGGGCGTCTTGCTCCAGAGACTCCCACCTGGGCGATTCTTCTCGCCAGGCTCGTGGGCACTAGGGGAAGACTCTCCCTTGGCACAGTGAACCCCAAGCACAGAGCCTCTGTCCAGGCCATGGGTGCACGCAGCCTTCAGCCACCCTGGGGTGAAGCCAGTGCCCGGTCACAGCTGCCCTGCTTGTTTTACAATCCATGTACTGTTCCACTGGGACAGAGGAATGAGAGGGGGACATGAGCTAGGGCATGTTTCCATGGGACGGGGACGGCCGGGATGCCCCAATTTCCATGGGCCAGAACAGCACAGACGTGCTTGCTTCCGTTGGAAATCCTGACCCCCATCCTCTGCCCCCTCAGCCCCCGCCATCCCCAGAGATGGGTACCCCCTCCCCAGCCTGCCTGTGAACACACAGGCCAGACCCAGCTCCACCAGTGCCGGCTGCTGAGGTTCCATGCGTGTAACCAAGGCAGCACGCAGTGTTCTAGCCCTGGATATTTTGTCAGTGTGGCTCTTTAATGTCACCGCATCCCGCAGGAGACACTGTAATGCCGTTTTAATTATTTCTTGCCCCTGCTGGGAAACCACCTCCATCAAAATGCCTATTTGGAACCCATCCTCAGCCTAGCAACAGTGGAAAGGGGAAGAATATTAAACTGTTTCTTCAAACTTGGCGCTGGCATTCAATTTAATACGAACAACTTATTCTGCAGCCCTGACCTATCGTGGGAAGGCAGAGATCTGAAAGACTGGAAAGACCCATCTGGTCGTTGCTTCTGCAAATGCTGAGTGTGCAGGGCAGGGGTGGCCATGCAGGAGTCCCCAGGGGCCAGTGGGATCTGGGAGAATGGAGCAGGGACAGTCTGTAAGGCAGGACACCCGAGAGTAGGGGCCACCCAGGAAATGCAGCCAATGGGACCCCTATTTCTCTCCAGAGCCAAGGGGAGCCAGGGATGAGCAGGCCACACGTAAGTGACAATATTTTTTGCAGGACACTCCAGAGGGAGATGCCACCTCACTCTGGGGACAGCATGGTGAATACTTCATGTGTCCCTGTTATGGGCTGAGTTGTGTCTCCCAAATTCACAGGCTGAGGTCCTGATGCCCAGTTGCAGCTGCACTTAAGAGATAGGTCTTTAGGGAGGTCACTGGGGGGTTCCTATGCATGGGTCTCACCGCAGGAGGACTGGTGTCTTCTAGGAACAGAAGGCGAGTACCAGACCCACAGGGTGAAGACAGTGTGAACCCCGGGAGAAGCTGGCCGAGAGGGAGCCTCAGCAGAAACCGGCCCTGCAGACCCCAGAACAAGCCGCCTGGCCTGTGGTGCTCTGCCACGAAGCCCTGACACAATGCTTCACGTCCCCGTTTAGTCTCTGCAGATGCGTCCATTCCCACGAGGGGCCCCAAGCCGTGTCCAGAGCACCTTCTCAGCTGGCTCCGGGCCCAGCCCCCGAGCCACAGAAGAAACCAAGACCTGCTCTCTGCACCCGCCACTTCTGTGGTCATCGTTTGTGCAGAAGATCAATCACAACGCGGAGAGATCCAAAGAGCCACAGGAACGGGGATGAAACTCGTGTCATATCTAAAGCTTCAGGGACTTGAGAGGGAGATTTTTTTAAAACTGCAAAAGCCTTTTACTAAAAAGGCTCTGCTTCCAAGGACAGCCCATCCCAGGGGAACCCTGGAGACAGGCAGGCTGAGTCCCCGGGGAGTCTGTGCCTACACGGCAGTGACAGTGATGGTGGTGCTGTGCTGAGCACCTGAGGTGGCTAACTGCTCCATCACAGAGCGCAGGGGGGCCCGGGCCTGAGGCTGAGGGTGGGGGCTAGGGCTTTTCTTTTTCATCTTTTGATTAAGACCAACAACTGACTCAGCAGCCTGGGAATCGGGGCCTCAAAGAGTGCATTTTCCAAGGCCCTGGGAGTCACAAGAAGACATTAAGAACAACAACCAACTGGGACACCAGCTGGACATCGGGCCAGAAGCACGGACCCCGCTTCCCTTGCCCGGAAACTGTCCCTGACGTCGTCTGTTGCTCCTATCACTCCACGTTCTTGTACTTGGTGAACAGGTTGTACAGCACTCTCAGGGTGGATTTTAGGTCCAAGTTCACCACATCTGCAGAGGGAAACAAAGACAGGGCTAGTGAGAGGAGAGAGGTCTCCGAGGCCCTCAGGCTATGGTTCAAGATCACAGAACGACCACCTCGCCCCACTCCCATGGGTAACTAACCACAGAAGCAAGAAACAGCGAGCACAGTCTGCTCCAAGCCAACCTTGTCCTCCTAACCAACTTCCTGTCCTTGCCTCCTGGTCTGTGGGAGACAGGGCCAAGGTGGTGGCAGGGAATGGCTTGACCTCATGACCTAGCTCCATGGGCTGGAGGAGGCTGCAGTGCTCTCCATGGACCTAGGGTCCCCACTTCCCTAACACCCGGTGCAGGCAGTGAGACTGGAAGACCATGGCCACAGGGCCCAGGCAGCGAAGGCTGGAGGCACTCTAGGGGGTGAGGCCACAGTCCCTGCCCTCCCCTTGCAGAGTCCACCCCCGGGTCATTCACTAGGAAACTAGGGGCAACGGCCCTGGGTCTGAACTTCAAAAGAAGTCCAAGAGCCTCTCTGGGAAACAAAACACTGAACATCCCACCAGACCCTGCCACCCACAGCATGAAAGCACAGGGCTCCATCCGGGGACCCCACGACCCCCAGCCCCTGCCCAGGTGTCCCTCTGTGGTCCCCAAGGCCCCACTAGCTGCCTGGCTCTTAGACTCAGCCCTGTGAACCACCTGGTAAGACAAGGTCCTCTTTCCTGGCATGGGGGTCTCCTTAAGGGACTTCCTGGGGAGGGAGGGACCGTGAGGTGACCCTGCCCCCACTTACATCCACGTGGAACCCAAATGTGCCCAGGTCTTGGCCGTGAGCAGCAGCCTCTGCTGGGCCCAGAGGACCTCAGGCAGCTGCCACTAAACCTCAGGAAGCCTCCAGTGTCTTCCTAGAAGCACGGAGAGGCACTTGGGCCCGGAGGTCTGTGGACAGTGGCTTCGGCCTACAAGGTCAAGTGGCTGTTAAGGAACCAGCACTGATGCCAGGCAAGGCGGTGCATAACTGTCATCCCACACTCCAGAGGCTGAGGTGGGTGGATGGCTTAGGCCAGGAGTTCAAGGCCAGCCTGGGCAACACAGGAGGAAAAGGACTGGGATTGCCTCTTGGTCCTTAAAACAGGGTTGGCAGGGCCCAAGCACCATGCCTGAGTCCCAGGCCTATTTGTGAGTAGACACATCTGGGTCGCCAGTCTCTTCTCAGCCCTGGTCTCACTCCCCTGACGTGCCGGGGCTCCCCATGGGGACCCGGCCGGGACCTTACCTTCAGGCCGAGCCTTGGGCTTCTTCAGCCCCCCATCCAGCATCAGCTCAAAGGCGAAGGCCACATTGTGGACCTGCCAAGGAGGAAGGAAGTCAGCACTGTGGGCCACAGTCCCACCCAGGCCCGCTGCCCACCTGTTCCTTCCCTTTGGGAAGCAGAGTGACAGTGAGTATGGAAGGGGGAGGCCTTTATTATGTCCACAAGACCAAGGAAGCCCAGGGTGGGGCATGGGGTGGGCACAGAGAGATGTCTGTGCCAGGGTGACCCACATTGGCTAGAAGGCCCCCTCTCCCCACACCTGTGATCTGGGGCTGGGGACGGAAGGAAGATGACGCCCCTCCTGCCCGTGAGCACCCCAGCCATGTGATGAGAAGGCAACCATGGACCCATTTTACAGATGGAGAAACTGAGGCTTTGGGAGGACAAGTCCCTTGCAGAGACACCAACCTGCACCTGCCAGAAGGACCATGCAAAGCTGGGCATATGTGGGTGGCCTGCCAGGGGTCTATGGCTCATGATGTTCTCAGGCCACTGAGCTGGCACCATGGACCCTGCAGGAACTCCACCTGTCCCACCCAGACTTTCTGATGCCACAGAAGGGCAGACAAATCTGGACACACATGCTCCCCCCACCCCCGTGGCTTCTCCCAGAAATGACAAGGCCTTGCATCTTCAGTCCAGGTGCTGGGCTCTTGTTCCACTCATGACCACTGCAGAGGTCAGAACAAGTGCCCCGCGTGGCTGTGTTTCAAGGCCACCAGCATCCAGGATAAACCTGACCACGCCTGGTGTTGGCCTGTTGAGAGCCGGGCTGGGGGTGGGGTCCAACAAACCACCAAACACAAGGAGAGGACAGAGTTGGAAGGACTGGAGGGCTCTTAGGAATCAAGCAGCTCTCCCGAAACAGACTTCTCATGATTTCAGTCCAAATGAGTCTGACACGTGGATGACCATTTTATTCGCACTGTAATTTAATAATTAACCAGGAAAGCCACTACTCCTTGGCGAGTAGAACCCACCATGACAGAAAGCAGCTTTGGATGTTCAGAGAACAAAGGGGGGACATTCTACCAGCACCCCCAGCACACCGGACCCAGTTAGGCACAGGGGTGCTGCCCAGTGGGAGGACAGGCAAGGTGGGGCTGCCATGACCCCAAGTCCTGCCTAGGAGGGTCCAGGCCCTTCTGCTGGCAGGGCGGGCAATGGGGACACAGGGCAGGATGCCAGATGCCCTGGTCTGCGGGACAAGGAGCAGGGCCTGGGGTCAGGAGACTCCCAGGGAGTCAGGGGGGAGGGTAGGTTGAGGACTGGGCACAGAGATGGGGCAGGAGCCAGGGTGGGGGTGCAGAGGGTGCACAGCACAGCCCCCCAGGGGACAGGGACAGCCAGCGTGCGGCACATGACCCGAGTGTTTGGCACAGCCCTCACTGCCCCTCCCAGCTCTGAGTGAGGTGGGTGCAATCACTCATTTCCCAGAGGGTACAGGGCCAAGACAGGGTAGGGCAGCTGTAGCCAGAGGACCACGGAGACAGGCCCAGGGCTGAACACACAGCGAGTCTGTGTCCGGAAACGCAGCCTCCTGCCTCCCGCCTCCTCCCCCGCGGCACTGTGGCTTCCTCTAGCCAGCTGCCCCTGGGTAACCCAATGCACACACTCGGGCACTGGCACACACCTGTGTGCAAAACAAGCTTTGGATAAAATGCAGACAGGCAACTTGGGAGGAACAGCAAGACAAAACTCCCGCCCCACAGAAAACTCAGGGTGCCCACATGGGGCCGTCCCCTGTGCCCTCTGAGCCCCCTGAGACCTGCAGGGTCCTTTCCCCGGCAGAAGGAGGGGACCAGAAGGCCAGGGCAGCCACGGACAAAGACTTTCACTCTTGTTTCAAACGGATGAAAGCCGAGGCCGGGAGAAGACGATCCCCCTGTCATGTGCACAAAGCCTTGGAAAGAGATCCAGTTCCAGGGCTGCCTAAATCCAAGGCTCTTGGCGGTGCCCTTGTTAGCTGGAACAAAGAAAAGAACGCTCCACAACAAGGCCTCCACCTCTAGGCTCAACAGGGCCTGGGAATGCGTGGATCTCTCGACCTAACCGTCCAACCTCTGATTTCTAGGATGTGGGCACTGGTGTGGGCGGCACCTGATGGGTTCTGCAGCCCTCTCCTCCCCTCTGCTCCCAAGTGCTGCACGCTCTCTCTCCATTCAGCATGGACTCCGCTGCTGTGCCAAGACCCGGTTAATCTGTTCCAATTCCACCTCAGCAGGCAGGGCAGGAGCAACATTTGGCCGTGAGCAAACAGGCTTTGCAGTGCCAGGAGCAAGCAGATTGGTAAACACTGGCCCCATTTTCTGCTGTTTCCCTGCCGGTGGCTTCCACTGTCTGCCTCCTGACTCACGGGTCTAGCACTTAGGGGAAATTAAATGATGCCTGTGAGTCCAAAGCAATCCAGACTAGCCCTGGCCGAGTTTTAAAGGTGAGGCACTGGGTCCTGTGGCACAGGCTCAACTGCAGAAGCCCCAGACAGTGCTGGGGGGGGGGGTGCGGCACCCAGCCTCAAGGAAAACCCTATCTGGGAAATAAGGACACAACCACAGGAATGCAACACATACACAGTACATATAAACACATGCACATATAGACAGCCAGTCCTCCATATCTGTGGATCCACCTCTGTAGATTAACCCCAAAGCAGATGGGAAACATTTGGAAAAATAATTGCATCTGTACCCAACATGTACAGAGGTTTTTCTCATCACGATTCCCTAAGTAATGCAGGATAGCAACTATGCACATAGCACTGCATTGCATTAGGCATTGCGAGTCTTCGAGAGTTGACGAGCAGTGTACCAGAGGGTGGGCGTGGCTTCCATGCCAACTTGGTGCCATCATATCTAAGGGACATAGCGTCCACGCATTTTGGTGTCTGGGAGGTCCCTGACCCAGACCCCTGCAGATGTGGAGAGCTGACTGCACCTATTCAAGCAGGGAACAGGGGGACACTGGCACAGAGCCACCTGGGGGCCCTTAGTGCCATCCCCAGAAATGGTATTCGGGAGGAACATGTATGTAGCAGGGAGGGCCAGATATGCAGCTGCATCTGACCACAGTGATTAAAGTGATGTGGGCTGTGGCAAAGACCCTGGGGAGGAAGTGATGAATCGGGCTCTGATACGCTGCGTGCCACTGCCGGCAACCAGTGAGTCAAGGTCCCATCTGCTGAGAGGCATCAGGTTCTAAAGAGATCAGTGAAGCTGCAGAGAGGGCTGAGGAGTCACCCTCAGCTGTGCCCTTCAGCAAGTGGGCTTGGGTCATGCCCAAGAATGGAGTTTCTGGTGGTACTGGAGATTGGACCCAGGCCTTCTGCACTGAGCCGTGTCCCAGCCCTGTTTTTGTTTTTTTTTTTAAATCCTTGAGACAAGGTCTTACTAAGTTGCCCTGGCTGGGCTCGAACCTGTGATCCTCCTGTCTCAGCCTCCCATGGTGCTGGGATTACAGATGTTCGCCACTGCACCCAGCCCACACACGTACCTTTTGATCGAAGCTCTCTGGAGTCAGGTAGAAGTTATGGAGGGGAACGAAGTAGTCCTCCAGAAGGCCCATGAGCAGGACAAGGTACACACCATCTGCAAACTGCGGAGAAACAGCTGGTGATATTTCTGGGACAGCACCCTGCACACACTCAAGAGAGGGAGAAGATTTTACAGTCCAACAAGTCACCCTCTTGCAGGGAGGCGAGAGACCTGGAATCAAGGCTGGGGTTGAGGTCTCTGAGAATCAACTCCCAATCCACAAAGAACAGAGAAGGGAGAATGAATCCAGGCTTAAAGGACGTTCTGTGGCCCACAGCGGTGTAGAAGATTCTTGGGCAAGACTCCTGCTCACCTGAGGGGCTGGGGCACTGAGCTGCTGTCATCAGCCACTCACTGACAAGATGGGACCCTGGAGAAGGGAGTGTTTCATCTAAAAGCAAAAAACCCCAGCACCCTCAACCATTCTAGTGAGCTGCTGATGCTCCTGATCCCTGAGGGTATTTAAGAGGAAAAGTCAGCCGGGCCTGGGGGCACACACCTGTGATCCTAGTGCTGTGGGAGGCTAAGGCAGGAGGATTGCAAATTTGGCCCAGCCTGGGCAACTTACCAAGACCTTGTCTCAAAATAAAAAGAGCAGGGCTGGAGATTCAACTCAGTGGTTCCACCGCCTGCCTCGAAAGTGCAAGGTCCCGAATTTGAGCCACAGTACCAAAAAAAGGGACATCAAAATAAAAAGGGTAGCTCAATACAAAAGTCCTGGGTTCAATCCCAGGTAACCCCCACTCCCAACAAAAAAAAGGAAAAGTCAGCCGGGTGTGGTGGTGCATGTCTGTAATCCCAGCACTCAGGAGGCTGAGTCAGGAGGATTGCTTTGAGTCCAAGGCCAGACTGGGCTACTTAGTGAGTTCAAGGCCAGCTTGAATGACATAGCAAAACCCTGACTCAAAGACAAAACAAAAAAAGGAAAAGTGCAGTCACCAAAATGTGATATGAAAAGCCCTGGACTAAAGCAATCTATGAGCAGGTGGCTGTCCTTCTGGGCTCCCCGAGTTGCTGCGTGATCTCAGGTGATGGGCAGAGCAGACTTCACCTCCTTTCTCCACAAAAGAGGCTGTGGAGTAAGTAAGGACAGAAGCAAATCCAACCTGAGACACTGTGGGCCCCTAGCATGGATCTGAGGACTGACAGGAGCCCAGGGCAGCACTGAGTGTGGAGACCTCCCTGGCCTGCACAGCACCTTCATGGCTGGGAGTTTATGCCAAGGAAGGGACACAGGAGCAGGTGCTGTGCAAGAAGACATCGCTGTCCCTGCAAGCAGCATGGAGACGTCCAACCATGAGGGGCCAGCCTCAGAGTGTGCAGCGCAGCCCGCCAGCTGCCGAGAAGTAGCTGTTAAAAGTGACAGAATCTAGATCGACAGACTGAACAGGACAGAAAGGATCTGACAGCAACACACACACACACACATGCGCGCACACACACGCGCACACTCTTTCTCCTACCAGATGCCAGTAATAAATTTAGGAACAAAAAGTACATTACAAGACAGCTGTACCGTGTGATCCACTGTCATTTGAGAAAACACATTTATGTTCATAAAACACCTCAAGAGAGAAACATCCAGCCGTTCCCCGTACTTAGTTCTGCCTGGGAGTTTGGAGCAGAGACTGCAGGAGAGGGGAGAGATTTCCACTCTTTACTCGGCAGGCTCCAGGACTGTTAATGTGTCAAACGGCCAATGTGCGGCGGATGAGTGGCAACATTAGAAAAATGCTGCAAATAATATAAATGTGTTTGCTAACGATGCAGAAATAAATACGCACATTAGAAAACAGACCATTCAGCTTCCACAGGCAGACCCGCTGCCCACACAGTCAGCCGCACGGGTGGAGGGGCAAAGGTCTCCACAAAACCCCAGGCGACATCATCTCCAGGGGATGCGATTAGGGATGACTTTTATTTGTTTTGCTTATCTACATTTTCAGACATTTCCACAATGAACCTGAATTACTTTTTTAATTAGAAAAGTAAATGAGAGAAATTAAAGAAAAGGAAGGAGTAAAAGAACCCATCCAGGGGTTTAAGAAGGATCAGCTGTGCATTAGAGAAGTCTGTACCACGAACGCAAAAGACTCCAAATTCAAGCAACCAGATAATCCAGGGAAAATTATATTTTGTCTTTAATGCTCACCAAGTACTTGAAAATATATTTTCACCATACTATTTTAGCTATGGAAAGAAGGGTATATTGTATACACCTTACTGCAAAAGGCAGGTCTCCTGCACATTCACCAGAAGATATTTATTTAGCATTGGTTAAACACAGGCCCAGGGCTAAGGGTGAGGGCTCCACCATGGAAGCAGAGAGGACAGAAATTCCAGGCACAGGCACCCACACATGCAAAGGCCCTGGGGTGGCTGGAGGCGGAGCCCTGGAAGGTGTTAGGGGTTGAACTGTCTCCCACAAAGATGCGTTGGAATCCTGATCCTCAGACCTGTGAATGTGACCTCTCTGGAAACAAGGCGATTAGCTTGCGATAGAGTTAGTATGGCAGGCCCTGGTCCAACACAGCCGAATCCTTGTAAAAAGGGGCGATGCACACCCAGAGACGGGCCCACAGAAGAGACTCCTGATCGCACAAGATGGCCCTGCCTGACCTGTCAGCCCGAAGCACCGCATACCTGGGTCTCCAGCTCTGTCACCTCCAAGTTCAGCTTGTTCAGGTGCTTGTTCACAAATGTGATGAGCGACTGTCAAGGCAAAGGACAGAGCCATCAGAGGCCACAGCCCACCCCATCAGCAGAGCGGCGCCCGTTTCCCAGGTCAGGCTTTGTGAAGCATTTCCGGAATCTCCTCCGTCAGCTAAGATAAAGGGCCTCGGTTCCAAATGCAGCATTCCTACAGCAGCCTTTGGACTACATGGGCTGATGCTCCTGTGTACCCAGCTGGAGAAGCAAGCACACACCTCTGTTCACCAATCCATGTGCACGATTCTGATTCACACACACACACACACATGCACACACACACACGTGCGTGCCATATTTAACAGCCACAAAGAGTATCAGTACTCTTACAAATAAATTTGTCAAGAAAGAGAATCAAATTTCTGAGTGGATCCTGGATACGAGCCTGGATGGCAAAGGGGAGAACCTGAGGATGCCAAGGGAAAGGTGGCCCCAGCCATGCCCGGTACATCTTGCCTTGGCTTCATCTCAGGGCTGCGGGAGGCTCTTTCTGCTCTTACCTGGGTACCAAGGGCCACTGGCTTCTCCCTGGCAAAAGTCTAAAATTTGGTCCCTGTAACTTCTCAGCAGTCAAACCCAACTTTAATGGAAACTCAGTTCCACCTCATCTGCCCCTGGCTGTGATGTCATTTCTTATTCATTCTGTCTGGATTCACTGAGCCACCACTTTGTGCCAGGCACAAGCCTGCTGCTGGGGACATCAAGACAGGAAGAGAGAGCCCTGTCGGAGAATCCTGGAGAGTCCTGGTGGTGGGGACAGGCACGCCAAGGGACAGAGCCCTGCACAGGAAACCAGCACCATAGGGAGCTTCCTGGACACACAGGGGAAAAAAACAGAGACCCCGCCACTGTCCCTAGGCTGAGAGGGGGTGGGTGTGGCTGAGTAGTCACCCGGGCCCAGGCACACCTGTGAAACTCTGGCATCAGGCTGTGGCTGGATGAGACTGGGCAGGTGTCAGTGCTCCTGCTTTCATTCCGGGGCACAGGGAGCCACCACTGCTACAACTTGCAATGGAGGATGAGGGAGGGCAGGCTGGAAGCCAGAAGGCACATAAAAGGAATTGTGGCTTTTCCGTTCCTGCCCCAAAAGCATCTTGCAAAAGATGGCATCCTGTCTCCCGGAAGATGAAAGCTGCTCTTGGCCCGCTATATTTAACACTAGGACCATGCCATGTGTGCCCAAATGTGATTTCAATTTATCTCCACAGTGCCCCTGAGGGGTGGGTAATGTCTCTGTCCTCGCTTGACAGGCCGGGTAACTGAGGCTGGCGGTGGGGTGACCCGCCCCAGGTCACAGTCAGTAGGCCAGGGACTCAGGTTAGACTCTTCCTCCCTCTCGTGCTGCAGGTCCAAGGTGTGGCAGCCACAAAGGCCCGGATGGCTAGGGCCAGAGGACCATGCAGATGGCTGCAACGGCGCCCCAGGCAACCCTGAGCTTACTGTGTGAGCCCGGACCAGCCTTTCCCAAAAGTGGGTTCCACAGGAACATCACAGGCCCTGCCCCAAAGGAAGAGAGACAAACCCCACTGCACAGCAGGTTTAGTAAACACTGCTCCAAGCTCCTGCTGGAGGAACCATGACGCTGCACAGCCTGATGGCCAGGGCTGCTGTACCCAGCAGGGCCGCCCTCCCCAAGGTCACAAGCGGGCACAGTGGCCGCCCTGGGTCACTGGAAGGAGGACAAGGGACGCTGGCAGGACCTCAACTCCTTTGGGGGGAACAATCCTTCCTGGAAGATGCTGGGGCAGCGGGTAGCTCCCACCAGGACTGAGACTCGAGAGGCACGAGGATCCCCAAAAGGAAACGGGCCGAGTGCGGCCCAGGGCGCCTGCGCCTTGGCAGTGATGAGGCCGGTGACAGCCAGCAGGGTGACGTGCTTAAAAACATTTCCACATCGACAAAGGGCCTCGAGTCAAGTTGGAATGAACTGCTGCGAACTGCCTGTGCTTTGGGCTCGTAATTTGCTTCACAGAGGAGAGGGAGGGCAGGAAGCCACCCAGGGAGCAGGGACACTGAGTTAAAAGGTGCTAATTTTATGCACCGTGGTTGCATTTCTGACTGTAATTACATTTCAGTCCATGTGGCAAATATCTCAGAGACTCCAAACACAGCCCCCTTCCTGCCCACAGGTGGGCGCTCGCTGGGGCTGTGGAAAGCTGAGCTGGGGACGAGGAGGCCTGGAGGGGGACACAGGGACCCCAGGGGAGGACACAGCCGTCCACTCCTTACTTACCTTCTTCACCACAGTCAGCTTGTCCGGGGCGTGGTCGAAGAGCGTGTCGAAGGCGTCCCGCTCTGCCAGGACATGCGAAGAGACGCAGGGAGGGTCACGGGCAGCCTGGGTACCATCCTGACCCCCAGAGTCCTGGGGACCAGCCAGCTCTGGGCCAGGCGTGTGGCCCCTGAGCCCACACCTGCCAGCACCCTTGAATTCCCGCCAGAGCAGTGGGGCCACTGCTGACCGGAAGCCATGGCAAAGCCGGCAAGGGGAACAAAGGCTGGCAGAGAAGGCTGTATGGCAGGGATCGCCTGGGCAGCATGTGGGCACCTCCCGTCCTGTCTCCCAGGACCTCCTCTGTGAATCTGAACCCCCATGCATGCTGTCCCACTGCCCCCAACCTAGAGCCCTCTGCTCACCTGCCCACCCTCCTCTATCGGTCCCACCTCCTCCCCAGCAATCACAGCACTCAAAGTACACCTGGACCGCTTCTCTTCTCACTCCCAGGCCCACTAAACCCTACAGGCTTCTTCTCACTCTCGGGATGAAGTCCATCCTGTCTCCCATGGACACTGGACTGTAACAGGCTCAGTGTGGTCCTCTCAGCAATCACCCTCACGTCGGACATACACACTTGCCCCGGGGCCTTTGCACCTGCTGCTCTGGCTGCCTGGCTCTCCTCCAAGGGGCTCCCCACCTCCGCTGTGTCCTCCCACCCAGGGTCCGTTCCCACTGCAGATGGCGTTTCATTTTGATCTGTCTGCTGTGTGCTGTCTGCTGGGCCATCAACTCCCCACAGCTGGGCCACCCACTGCCTGCTCCCAGAGCAGTGGAGGGTTGACAGCTGGTGCTCAGAGTCTACCACAGCAATCCTGGGGGATCTGCCTCTGGGGACATCTTCAGGGACAGACAGCTCGCGCCTCCCCAAGGTGTCCCCTCCACCTCCGCCTCCCCGGGGAGCCCCAACTACTCTGCTGCTGACACAGACATTAGGGAGTCGCCTCCAGGCAGGAAGGAGGAGAAGAGGGCATTTGGCAGGGACCTGGGTCCCCAGCTGCTGTCTCCAAGGTGCCCAGGAGACAGCACATGCCAGGGGACGAGCAGACAGACCATGGCCAGCTGTGGTGTGGGCTTCACCCTCAGGACAGAGCCCAGGAAGCAGAACCTGGCAGGTAGGCCAGAGTCCCTCCACCTGCTGAGGGAGCCCGGGTGCTGACCAGCAAGAAGGTGCTGGGCACCTGAAGGCCAGGGCCAGAGGCCACTCACAGCCCAGCCCAGCCTGGCCTGGCCCAGCCACACGGGGAGCCTCTTCCCTGGCTTTGGGGGAGGGGAGAGGCAAAGAGACAGAAGGAAAGTGCGTGTGTGCATGTGTGTGCATGTGTGTGCATGCGTGTGGCGTGCACATGTTGGAGGGGGGACAATACCTCCTCTACCCAAAGGCCCACATCACCCTCTCGACTCCAGCGTTCCTAAGGCAGCAGACATAAATTATCTCTATAATCACCCACGTCAGATACTCCTCCCTAAGACAGTCTGTTAAGGGCCAACAACAGAGCTAAATCTTTACCAAGAACCGCGCAAACTTGAAATGCGGCTTAAGAAGAGCCCCAGGAACAGAGCAGGGCTTGACGTCAGCAGTATATTTAGCTGGGCCACTGCTGGGCTGGCGGAGTCAAGCCACGCAGGAGGCCACCCGGCCTCCGAGATGTCGCCCACGCCAGCCACCGTTTACCTGGACCTGGGGGCACGTCGCATGGCCACACGGCCTGGACGGGCAGGGACATGAAGAAAAGAAAGAGGCCATGGGGACCAGGCCACACACAGGGCCCCCGGAAGGAATTTATGTGCCCCTGTAGGAATGAAAATAGATCGAGGTTCAGATCCGAGCTCCGTGGGTTAAAAGTTCACAGACAAGCTGGCCACAGTGCCACACCGGGAGGCTGAGTCAGGAGGACTGCAGGTTAAAGCCCAGCCTGGGTGATTTAGCAACTTAGCAAGACCCTGTCTCAAACATTTTTTAAAAAAGCTGTGGATGTAGCTCACTGTAAGGGTCCCAGGTTCAATTCTCACCATAGCAAAAACAAACAAAAAAGGCAAAGACTTTAGATAAATGGTTTCCCTCTCCAAACCCACCTCCTTCTCCCCCAAAAGCAGGAGCAGCTGCCACCCCTGGGCCACCCTGTGCAAGAGTTAACGCAGGAGGCGACTGGGGACTGGGACAGGTACAGCCCAGACACCATGGGTCTCAGCAAAGTTGTCTTTCTTGCTGACAAGGTTTTTTAACAGGAAGATTTGCTCAGAAGTCTGAACTTCCGGCTTCTGCTGGAGAGGGGAAGTGTGGTGTCTGGGGCCCCACTCTGGTGTCAGGGAGCAGCCTGTGGGGACAGGGACTAATGTTTTTCCCCCAACGGCACTGCCCCACTGTCACCCCAACTAGAGCCTGAAGGTCAGTGACCTGGCCGAGTCCCACTCAGCTGGCCCCTGGGGCACCCAAGTTTGGGCCCGTGGGTCAACGGCTGGAGGGACAGAGCAAGAAGAAGCCTTGAAACTTCAGCTGGGGTTTGCAGGGGCAAGAGGAGGAAAGGCATCGCCCTGCTGGTGTGGCGATGGAGGTCTGTGATCGCAGCACTTGGGAGGCTGAGGCAGGAGGATCATTAGGAGTTCAAGGCCAGCCTGGGCTACACAGTGAAACCCTGTCTCAAAAAGCAAAACAGGAAAGAAGGGAAGGCAGGCAGAGGGAACAGAATATGCAAAGGGCGGCATGAGCCAGTCCAGCTGTGCCCTGGGACGGGGAGTCGAGGCCAGCACGGTGACTGGAGGTGTGGCCTTGGGCTGGGGTTTTAAAATCAGCTCTGCGGGGGACAAGAGAGCTGTGAAGGGGAGGCTGGGGTGATAACAGGGGAATCAGGTCCTCCCCTTGTCCCCAAGCCCCACACAGCCTCAGGAAGGAGCTCTGAGCTTTGGGAGGCTGGACAGGGGGAGGGGCTGCCTGCCAGAGACAGCAACCAGCAAAGCCGTTGCCACGGAGACCAGCTACCACCTCAGCTCCCCAGAGACTCGCTGCTTCCCTGGGATGCCGAGGGCAGGAGGGGCACCCGGGAGCCCAGCTGCCTGCTGGTGCGAGGAGGGGGTGGGGCGCTCAGGGTGGGGCCCCTCCCTGACGCCCAGAGGAAGCAGCCTCAAGAACTCCGCTCCTGGCAAAGCCCAGCCGGGGCCATCACCAGGAGGGTAGACCCGTGTCCAAGAGCAGGAGTGAGCCACAGAACAATGTACAGGGAGCGCAGCTCAGGTGACGGGCTGGAAGAAGCAGCACCCTGGAGTGCTCTTAGGACCGTGAGGGAGACACCGTGCTGGGCAGAAGAGGGGAGCTGAGGGGCTGGAAAGGGAAGGGATGAGGGTGCTTTATGATTCCCCACACACTGCAGGAGGCAGCCAGCTGGACACAGGAAGCCCTGGGAGGATGTAGCACCCCAGGAGGCCTGACGATGTGGCCCTGCAGGGTGCTGAGACACAGGGGGATGGGAGGCCCGGGCAGCCAGGACCAGTGTATCTAGGAGACTTCATGCCTGCATCAGCTGGAACCACAAGGGGGGCCAGAACTAACTGCCTGTCACCAACTAACAGCCTGTCTCATCTCACCCGCTCAGGCCGCCTCAGAAGTACCGAGGACACCACAGGCCTCTCATGTCCCCACACATGGCTCTGACCCGGGAGCCACACCCCAGGCACCTGGCCTGACTCCCATCCCCAAGGGGAGGCACAAGTCAAAAGTGCAGGTGCCACCAGCCCAGCCCACCCCGCCGAGAGCCAAGAGCGCACTGCTCTGCAGAGGCAGGAGAAACAGAGATGGGGCCACCCTGGGCCGCCACCCGGGCACGGGCAGGGTGGGCAACATCCCATGCCAGGCCACGGCTGCCCCTCCTGCTCTCCCCCTCAGTGACTGCAGACAGAAGGCTCCCTTTCCTCCTTGATTTGGTTGGTGTTTTTTAGTTTTTTTATGAGAGACATTTAAAAGAGCTGAATGGCTCTTTTGAAGGTTACGAACCTCCCGGCACAGACTAAGGTTCCTGGAGAAGGCTCCTTGTTCCTGCACTTGTTCCAAGTCAAGACCTTCTGGGATCTGAGAGCCACACCCACTCTCCACTGAGCTGAGCTGCACACCTCTGGCCCCAGAATAACCTCGAGGGAGTAACCTGGGGCCCGGCTCTCGCTGTGCAGGACCCGGGTGGCCTGAACCCCAGGGATGGGCCAACTCCAGCTGTCTCTGAGCGTTTCAAAGCTACCCTGAGCTGCTGGGCCCTCTGTCCCCAGTCCCGTCCGAGTGGAGGGGTCCCAGGGGTCCCAGGCTTTCACAGAAATAGGGAGAGCCATCAAGTGGCCCCTCTCTGGGAACAGCCCTGAAAATGACCAGAAGCCACCACCGTATCCGGGCCTTCCATCCTCCCGCTCCGCCCTCACACCAAGCCCTTTCCCATCTGGTTCCACAGAGCTGAAGGAGCCTGACCCCAGGGGGAGTCCTGAGCTGGAAACCCTCGGTGGGGAAATCGAAGCCTAAGCGTGAACGTGCGTGCCAAGGGGGCAGCCTCCCCACCTGGTGCGGTGATTGCAGCCGTGTGGCTCCACTTCCTCTCTCCCTCCTTCCCCCCTCACCTGGCTCCCCACACCCACCCCTCCCAGCTCAGACAGGGGCTGGGAAGCCCACGGGGCCAGCTCCACCTGCCCGACCAGGTGACCCTGGGAGCTTCCTGGGACACCCTAGGGTGCTGGGACCTCAGATTCCCTCCACCCACATCGTCCCAGCCAGGTGACTCACCAAAGCGGCCCATCATCATCCTGCAGACAGGAACAGAGAGAGGGAGGGAGAGGGAGAAGGAGCGGTCAGGAGGCCTCAGGGCCCAGGTAACAAGCAGCACCATGGGGCAGGCAGGGTGACCAGAAGGAGTCACCCTACCCGCCAGGTGCAGGGCCACTGAGAGTGATGCAGCCACATACCCCCACATTCCATCCCACTCCCATGACAGATGTGAGGTGCATGTGTGGGTGGCATTCTCACCAGCTCAGCAGCAAACCGCCCCCCTTGTGGGCATAGAGGCTGAGTGAAGCCATGCCCAGGGGACACGTTCAGACCCAGCAGGCAAGATTCCCAACTGTGGACCTCAGGACACGAGGCTACAGCTTCCCTGTGCATGCATGCAGACACGATGCACTTTCAGAGACACTAACACTAAAGGTCCACAGCCCCACGGGGCTGGGCCCCAAAGTGGACAGCATCCAATGACATCCAGTGCAGTCACACAGTTCCTGCCTGGAAGCTGCTTCCTGAGAGGCAGGGAGAGCTGTTTCATTCGAGTCCCTCCAGGCACAAGGCCTCTGGCTTCATCTTAATTAATAAACATTTACATGGGCCAGGGATTTAGCTCAGTGGTTCCAGCACCTGCCTTGCAAGCTCAAGGTCCTGAGTTCGATCCCCGGTACCAAAAAAAATAAATAAAATAAAATAAACATTTACATGAACACCTACTATGTGCAGGCACACAAAGCTAAATACCACATAGAGATCAACACCCCCTGCCCAGCCCTGGGTATGCCAGGGAGAGAGAGACAGCGAAGTCAATGTTTCCACATGGGCCAGGCACCCAGAGGGAAGATGTGTACAAGATACTCTCCGCCTGGAACTCCCACCTAAAAACCGGGAGGGTCTCCTGGAGGGGGTGACCTCGCATGCACCTCTAGGGAGAGGAAGCACAAGGTGCTGGGACCAGACAGGTGGTGGTGGCAACAGGGCCTTTGAAGAACTCAAGATGACCTGGTCCTGTAAGAGGTGCACCAGGAAGCAGATCTGGGCAAGATGGACCCAAGGCTGACAGGAGGATGAGGAAGGCATCCACTCCAGTGGGGCACGGGAGGGCTATGGACAGGAGGGATCAAACCCAAGATGGAAGCTGGGCAGGATGCTGGCGGGCACTGGGCATAGGCCTGCAGAGGTGCCGGTGGCTTCTCTGGACCCTCGGGACCCCCCTCGCTGAGCAGCTGACCAGGGACTGGGCCCCCAGATCCTCCCTCAGGACTTGGGGCTCCTGGAATCTGGCTGAGGTGTCCTCCCGGGGCTCTGCGCAAACTGACTTCCACCCTGGACACTGGACACTCCACGCGTGTGCCCAGAACCCCAGTGCTCCCCATCCCCCCAGCTCTCTTCCCGGGTCCCTTCCCCAGGCAAGGGCTCCCTGGGGCGCCACACATGGAGCCCACACAGGGGCTCCTGGGCCTCCCCAACAGTTACATGCGTGAAGAAGGCATCTGGAAGCCCAAGTGTGAATTCACGGTGCAGTGACAAGCCGCTGTGACAGAGTGGGTGGGCGAGCTGAGGCCGTCCATTCTGTCAGCACCGCTTCGTGTGCGACGGGCCCAGGCAAGAAGTGCAAATGTGGTGGATTGTAAAGATCTTGAACGGGGTGCCAGAGGGTCCCTAAAAACTATATACTGAATATACTATTTGATTTGCTGTTTTCAATCAGTTTGGAGCCTTTTAGACTTCGAAAAGTCTGCCTTCTGGCTTTCTGTAAGAGATCGGGGGAGGGCTTGGCCGTGTCAGCCAGGGGATGCTGGGGTGTTGACATGCAGCTCCTCCCTCAAGGGAGCCGAAGTCAGTGACAGGTCTCAGAGAGCACCCTGAACCAGTGCACGCCACCCCAGCCATCACTCAGAGCTCTCGACCCAAGGAAGAGAGAAAGCCCCGAAGGCTTCAGGATGGAACTCAGTTCTACAAGGAAAAACTAAAGAGTGGGTGGGGAAGGGAAGCCAGGTGCAAGGCTTCGTGGAAAGCGCATCCTGAGACTGAGGACAGGGCGGTGGGGCCACTTACTCCGTGGTCGTGGTCAGCTCCTCCGAGACATGGCTGGAGTGGAGCAGGCCTTCCCGCTTCTGAAAACCCCAAAATACACAAATAAGCACCCAAGAACTGGGTGGGCAGAGGGATGAGGAAGGACAGAGGGCAGGGTGGCGGGAGCTGTGCGCAGACAGACGCCCCGGGCAGGAGACCGGCTTAGACCCACCTGGGCAGGTCCCCTGCAGTGACCACAGGGCACCCTGAGCCCTCTGGCCTGCTCCCATCCTCGCTCTCCACACGGCACCAGACACTGGGTGCTGAGCTTGGCCCAAGAGGGATACCCGGCTCAGGCGGCCAATACGCTCTGCAGCTGAGCGAGGCGAGAATCAGGGGACACCCAGTAAACAACCCCTGTGCCTGCCCTGAGCGGGGTCCCCGAAGCTCACAGCCACCCGAACCTCGGGATGCGAGCTTCCTTGGGAACAAGTCTTTGCAGACACCGGTGAGGAAGAGGCCACACTGGGTTATGCTGACCCCAATTCCAACGTGATGGACGGCATTAGGAGAGGAAAGAGACCCAGAGGCACAGAGAGGAGAGAGGTGACCCCAAGTCCAGGTAGGTGGGAAGGACAAGGGGAGGTGTGTGACCCTCAGACACCTGGATTCAGACTTCTGGCCCTCAACTGTGAGACGCTCAGGCTGCTGTCCGAAGCCTACAGCTGTGGCACTAGCTGTGCAGCTCAGGGAGGTTAACACAGCACATGACACACTTCTCGAGGGCCTGGCAGGTGCACAGGGATGCACAGAGGTGGGGAGCAGGGTGACATGGGGTGAAGCCCACCAGTCACCACCTTAGGCCCCTACCTCAACCCCTGAGGGACGGGAATCTGCTTCCTGGAGAGGCAGCTCCCGTGGACAGTGCCCATGATTGGAGCCGTCCTCCCTTTCCTGAGCAGCCTCAGGGAACTGAGTGCTAGTTCTCGTTAAGGAGAAACAGCTATTGGTCTCTGTCAGCTTGTTCGCAGCCTTGTCATGCCTGATTCTCAGGATGAGGAAGGCCCAGGACGCCAGCTCACTTATTCCCTCCCCAAACCTGGAATCAGCTCCCACCAGATGCTGGTGTGCCAAGACATTGGAGACACAAAGCTGAAGAGTTAAAAGGTTTGTAGTTATGACCTCAGTTCTGGAGGGAGGTCATTGCAGCTCAGTGAAATTGAGTGGCTGGCCTGAGGGCACACTGCTAGGAAATGCCACCTGCCTGGTATCTTAGATTGGAGACCCAGTCAGGAGAGCAAGCCCAGAGGTCCTCTAAAGACTCCCCTCCCTCCTCTCCTCTCCTCCACATTGGGCACAGCCCAAAGAATCCTGTGACCTGGGTCAGTGCAGAAGGTGCCAGCAAGTGCCTGCTTGGGTCACTCAAATTTCTGCAGACCCGAATGATTATCCTGGACCAAAGTGCAAGCCTGAAAGGAAATACCCAGGACCTTAAGCCTGAACAGTGCTGCCAGGGCCGGAGGCTGACATAGGTCCTCAGGCAGCCTTTCCTAGCCAGCCTCTTTCGAGCAAGCATGTATCCAAGACCAGGGACCGCAGGAATGGTGGTGGGGGGAGGCGTCACTACTGCCGACCACAAACATCCTCCACAGGAAGGAAATGGGGAGACATGGCAGGTGACCTTTGCCAGAGTCCAGCAAGGGCCTTTCCCAGGGTAATGGAGGGGTCAGGATGGCTTTGGAAAACACAGGCTCAGCCGGATCCTCATGGACCGCAGAGACCTTGGGACAGATAAGTTGAAAACCCAGAGAACAGCATGGAGCTGGATGTCTCAAGTAACATAAACACCCGGAACATCCAGGTTCCGAGCACAACCTCAACTCTCTGGCAGAAGCAGCTTCTCCTCCAGGCCGGAGTGTGTTTTCCTCATTTGGTGTCCCCAGCAGCCAGGAGAGTACTTGGTACCTAGTTGGCACTTAATATATGGTTATGTTGCTGCATACTCAGTGTTCCTAAAAGCTAAGGGGAATGCGGAGGAGAGGTCGATCCACCTCCACCCCCGTCCCAGGGTCCCTGGGCCCTGGCTTCACTTCTCCAAGTGAATCAAGAGAAATGAACCTGAAAAAGAGATATTGGGGAATTGATGGCTATAATACTCAGCAAATTCGAGAGGCTTTAATGTAGGGATCTATTTCATACCGCTGGTCTCAACCTCCTCCAGTGAGTAATAAGCACATTCAAGGGGATTGAATTCCGACTCGCTGGCTTCGGTGAGAAATGAATGTTCTTTTCAAAATTCTGGAAAATTAAACCTTAACACTCTCATGCCTCTGGTTCCGCCTCTCTCTAAATCAGCACCATTGTTCCTGCTCCAATCATTTATCTCCAAGCCAGGGTGAGACACACATTTTGTTAAGAGGGAAAATGAAAAGTAGCCTCTTGGGAGGAAAAGAAAAAGCTGGAAAATTCCAGGAGGAGAAAGTCCCGCTGCCTCTGGGCGGGGTACTCACCCGGACAACCACCACCTGCACCGACACGTGCTCAGGAAGGCGGATCGGGGCCCGGAAGTGCATGGCCAGGGAGACAAGCAGGTGGAGGATGGCCACCAGGTTCTTGCTGTGGATGGCTGGCCGGGAGGGAAGGAGGGGAGGTCTTTGTCAGAACCTGGGCCCGCATCCAAGAGGCCAAGGCTCAGCAAGACCGAGAAGACCAGGATGCAAAGAGCATGGAAAAGCAGAGTTAACAAACATCCCCAGTGATCTCATTTCTAGTTTGTGAGGATTTTTTCCCCTTTCTTGTTGGCTGAAGGTGACTTGTGCCACCACCTGGAGAGCCTGATGTTCAAGCAATGTTTAAAAGCATCATGTTTTTAAAAGCAGTGACAGGGGGTTGTGGGGAGGACAGGTCACAGCCATGTGCGTCATTATCTTTGGCACTGGACAGCTTCTCCCTCTGTACAATCAAGCCACCCCCATGGGAGTCACGTCAAGGGCAAATGCTGCTCTGGGGATGCCTGACATTGACTCCTGCCCTGCCGAGTCAGTTCCTGGCTGCCCTATCCACTGTCCACTCCCCCCGCCCCGGGTACCCAACTAAGGCTTGTTATGCAGGGCTTTACAGTTTATAAGGCACCCGATCCCTACACCCTGTGAGACAGGGCAGTTCTATCCAAGGTCACCTGCCAGGAAACCAGGGCCAAGACCTGTCGCTCCCCACAGCCCCGCAAGGGGAGAAAGAGGACAGGACCAAAGTCAATGGCCCACCTCATGCCTGTGCTGGGAACACTGTGATGTCACATTGTCCTAAATCCAGCCCACTCTGACACATTCCCAAGGCCAGCGTGAGCTCCTGGGGACCTGCTTTGGTGTCGCCCTTAGCGTCAGCACCACAGTTGTTTGGAGTCGAGCCCTCCGCCTCTGCAGCCTCCCTAATCCGCCCCACTGGCTTCACAGCCAGTAGTTCAGAATCGACTCCTCCACTTGAAGCAGGGAGGACACAGAACTGCCGAGTGCTGATGGCTCTTAGGTGTGAGCATAGTCACCTAGTGTCCCAGGGACTGGATTCTCCTCTGTGAGAGCAACAGAGTGAGCTGGTTTTTAAATGCAAGGCCGGACTCTGTGACAAGACGATGAGCTCCCCCGGCTCCGCTCCGCTCCCCGGGGCACTCACAGTCCACGTTCCACCGCAGCGCCCAGCCATGTGGCCGTAGCAGGTCATGCACGGCCTCCAGCACCGTCTGCAGCTTCTGCCTCTGCCCTATCTCCGACTGGGTCACCTCGGCCACATCCAGCTTGTGGTGCCCCAATTTTTCTGCAAGGACAGAGCGAGAGCCCGAGTGTCAGAGGAAGCAGCAGGTCCCAAGGCTGCCTGGCCATCTGCTGGGAGGGGGTCCTCGGGACAAGCAGATCACCAAACCCAGGAACCTCGGACTTGGAGGTCATTCTTATTCCCATGAAAACTGTTCCAGGAGGGAGAGGTGAAAGCAGTCTGTGTGGGAACATTCTGTGCTCACACTGCAGGGGAAAGTCATTCAAGGTGCAGGTGGGGGACGGATGAGGAGGCGAGCCAGGAGGCCAGGGAAGGAGCTGGGAGGCGAGGAGGTCGTCCTGTGGGTTCCGGAAGGGAGAGGCGTTTGATAAGGACGATAAAAAGGCTCCTAAAAGCTGCTTCTGCCTCCCTACGCACAGAGACTCCCATTTCCATTTCTCTAACATTTTGACACCACGAGAAGATGTCTGATTAGAAATTTGCAGAACTCAGGAGTGTCTGATTTCCAAGAGACAGCAGGAAGCAATCTGGAGGAACCTGGGCAAGAATTGTCACATTCGTTCAGGATCCAATTACTGAGATGGAGGCCCAGGCACAGCCCTGCGTGCCTTCAATTTCCGTCAGGGGCAAGTGGGGTGCAGGGGACGGCAGGTGACCTCGGAGCTCAATAGGCTACACCCACTAACAGCAGCACAGCGGGAGGAGCCCTGGGTGTCCCTCCTGGCTTTTAATTCCAAGACAAGGGTGCTTCCTGACAGATCTCTCCTCGGCCACACAAAAAAAGCCATGGCACAGAGCATCGAGACACAATTCCCTCGGGGGGTGATTACATGGGGACTGACCACTGCCAGGCATCCACATGGAGCACCTGTCAGCCACACCACCCCACCAGGAGATCACAGAAGCCTTCAAGTCCAGGCTGGTCACTGTGGGCTTTCTGTCCTGCACACGATGCCCACACAAAGTTCTGTCTAAAGCCTTCCCTCTGGAGGCCCTGGGGACATCAACGTTCTCTCCCTGCCTGGCAGCCAGAACCCTAAGCACACCCAGTTCTGGCATACCATGCAGGGTGAGGGGATCACACAGCAATGCCTGCAAGGCTCAAGACATCATTCATTTATTCATTTCCCCACGGAACAGTTACTGAGCACCTGCTAATGGACAGGCACTGTCCTAGGCACTGGGCAGGTGTGGACAAGAGAGGTCGCACTGCAGGGACAGGGTGCGGGTGGGTGATGGCCACAGTGCAGTCGGGAACAGACTAAATAAGATCAGGGTAGGCAGAGGAGAGCATGAGGGAAAATCACAACTTGCAGGGAGTGGAAGCAACTCCTATCTACACGTGTCATTCCCAGACCTGCACCCAGTAGCTCCTGGCTGGATAACCCACAGCAATCTACACAGCTACTCTGAAAATAGAGTAAGTGGGGCTCATGGGGATCCAGCAGCCAAGGACAGGGCAGACAGGGGCCTTGCGAAAAGACAGAGGGAGGAAGCCGGGGATTTAGCTCAGTGGTGCCACTGCCTGCCTCACAAGCACAAGGTCCTGAGTTGGATCCCCCGTACCAAAAAAAAAAAGAGAGAGAGAAAGAGAGAGTTACACCCCAGCCACCAGTAGAGACAGGCAGCCCAGCCTGCTCCACCTGTCCCCTGCTATCAACCAATCCCGCCCACTGAAGATGGCCACATTGGCCTGGGGTGGAAGGGAAGGGAAGGAGCTGCATCAGTCAGCATGGACTGTGTAACAAAGTGGACAGGCAGCTTGGACTGCAGTGATTTGTTCTCAAGACCTGGGGATTAGAAGTCTGAGATCAAGATGCGGACAGATAAGCATGCGGTCCTGAGTTTGAAGAGGTGCAGACAGAGTCGGTTCCTCCAACAGCCCCTTCCTTGGCATGTGGACACTTTCTTCTCCCACGACACCACATGGTTCCCTCTCTGTGTGTCTTCACCTTTTCTTACTATAAGGACCCCCAGTCATGTTGGAAAGAACACCCACAGGCTCTCATTTAACTTAATTACCTCTCTAAAAACCCTTCTCCAAACGCACTCACATTCTGCAATATAGGTGTGAAGAGGGGAATCTGGGGAGGACACACCCAAGCCATAGCATCTTGGGTGGCCAGGACTAAGGGCTGTGGCAGCTGCGTCAGCTGGCACATCTGTGGGAGCAGCTTCCACGGGCTGGACCCCATCTTCCCAGCACAGGAAGAGACAGAGACGGGGTGACTCTTCAGTGTGGTGGATGACCGTGGGTTATGGCCACGTGGGCTGTGAACTCTCAGGAGGAGGCTGGCTTTTGTCAGGGGGTTGTGTGCCCGTATGCTGGCAGCAGGGCAGTGGGTGTCCTGGGAGCCCTTGGCACCCAGCAGGGCACCTGCTCTGCCCCAAACAGTCAGCCTGAGAGGTCACTGCAGCCATACACAGCTGCGCTCGGAACCTGCCCCACCGCAGGAGTCTAGCAGCTGCTTCTGGAATCTGCTCTCAACAAGAGGGACCCACCGGTGTCTTCTGGTGATGCAACCTTGTCAGAGCGTGGCCAAACCCAGAGCCCCACACCCCACCCTCCTCTACTGCTCCCCAGTGCAGCACCACCCCAGGCCCTGTCCTGGGTCCGACCCCCCACTCCTCCAGTGGCTCTGCCTCTTCCTGACCAGTCCTGCTTTACCACAGACACACAGAAGTCAGCTTTGCCCTTGATGTTCAGGCAAAATCCTTTATTTGATTTTGGCCTATGCCTTTGCAAAACGAATGAGCTTCCGAACACCTACATCAAGGTCATTCCTGGAATTACATCTTACATCGAGTACAAGAACAGGCAAGACATTCTGATGCTCTGTTAATATCTGAGGGTTCTCATTCATTGTCCTTTTTTCCAGTCCAAGTGGTACATCAAACCACTCGACATACAAAAGACGTTAAAATCGCCTTCTCAAGTGCTTATTGAAGGCATTCAAATGAGATGGAGCAGCATCCACTCCACTATAAAGGCAGCCTGAGCCCCAGTGAGCCTCACATTGCTCTTTACAGCCATGCAGCAAGACCCTCACACCCATGGCAGCTTCAGAGTAAGGGGCACACTGGCTGGAGCCAACTGAAGGATGGGCTGTGAGAAGTCAGTAAGCGCCTCTGCTCTGTAAGACAGTCCAGGGAAGGTGCTGGCTTCCATTGCTGCCACCCACAGCTGAGCTCAGAGCCCATCCTGAGGCCTGATATGCAGTTACACAGTGCCCCGGCCACAGACACATGGGAAAGCATCAGAAATTAAAAACTTAAGCAAGCACACCACTCACCTTTGCTTCTGAAAATATTAGAAAGTATTGGTTTGGGGCAGTGAGTGCTGCACCAGCTACAGGGAGAGATTCAATAAAAGGCACCGCTGCCACCATGCAGAGCTCCATGCCCAAGAGTGGAGGTGGAGCTGAGTCTTCTCCATAATTGGTTCTCAAGGAAGCAGGTAGCTAATAAACAGGTCCGATTCACCATTTGCTGCCCCCGTGGGCTGTGCCAGGCAAGCGCAAGACACTTCTCTAGCCTTCAAGGTGACAGGTGTCTGTCATCTCAGAGGTCCACTCCGAAGACCTCGAGGGCAACATTCACCTAGCAGAGCTGAGAACAACCATGGCGGTGCTCCAGGGCAAGATGTCAAAACGCCAGCCGCTATAGTTAAAACACTATAATGAAAACAAAATTTTTTTTAACTATAATGAAACAATCTTGATTAATATTTCAGGTTCATTCCTGAGCTGATTCTGAGATGTGGATTCTCTCCTTAGCCACACAGATGTTACTTTCTGGTCATCAGCTGTTCAGGGAACACTCCCACCCTGGTTCATGCCACTTCCCCTGGCACTGGGATATCGTGGGGCATCCTGATCCATGTTCGGGCTCCAACTTCTACCCTTCTCATCCACCCGGCACCCAGAAGCCCAAGTGACCTTTTAAAACAACAACTCAGGGCTGGGGATTTAGCTCAGTGGTTCCACCACCTGCTTTGCAAGTGCAAGGTCTCGAGTTCGATCCCCAGTACCAAAAAAAAAAAGTTAAAACATCAACTCTGATCATGTCATGGCCCTGCTCGAAACAGCCCACGAAGCCTCTCACTTGGGAGAAAAGCTTTGCTTCCGGGGGCTGGCTGTGAACTGGCCCTGTGCACCTTCCCAGCCGCCCTGCCCCTCTACCCAGCAGGCCTCTCCTGGCCATGCAGCCCTGGCTGAGCCCTTCCCGTGCTCTGCGCACACCTCTGCTCGGATGCCAGCTCCCCACAGGGCTGCGCCGACCGTGCAGCCCCACACCCCACCCCGCCTCTCTCCACCCCTAACCCAGTGCCATTTCCTTCCGGGCTCTCGTCATATTCCTTCTGCCGGCACGAGTGCTGGGGGCTGGGACCCCTCTCGCTTCCCACCGTGACTCAGGGGCACAGAGGAAGCCATGAATATGTGCTCAGCAGAAGGAATGGATGAACAGACGATGACCAAATCACCCACAAATCTCTCCCTCCAAATGGCCTCTTTGCGGCCTGGGCCATCCCTCTGTCCTTGAGGCAGCTGCGTGGCTTGGTTCCCTGTCCCCAACCTCAGCAGGTCTTCCTCCTAGATGAGATGGCCCACAAGAGCTGTGCATGTTCCCAACACAGCCTGTATGCCACAGACGCCCCCCCCCGCCCCCGTCCCCAGGGCCCTTGGTCCCTCTCCACAGGGAGCTCCTGCCCTACCCCAAGGCACCTCCTCCAGGCCGCCCATGCTCAGTAACTGTCTCTTCTGAACCAAGTGCCCCTGTAGGACTACAATCACCCCCCACACATACTGTGTCCCCAGCCCTGAGGGGCGGCCGTCTGCAGAGGTCTGCTGGGGAGGCTGGGCTCACTGTGGGTCCATCGAACCCCGGGAGTGTAACGGAAGGGAAGCCCAGACTGAGAATCTGCCAACCCCACCCAGTGCTGGGGGGCTCCTGCTGACCTTCCAGAAGTCTGTTATCCCCACTTGCCAGGGGACACTCGTGAGGGACACTTTGGGGCCTCACAACCACACCTGAGCTTCATGAGGACCAAAAGGCTGTGCAGCAAACGATGACCCCTTCTGGGGTCTCCAGATGGTGCCGAGGTCCCGCAGACCAGACAAATGCTCTCCTCTCCCTTCTCCTGTCGCCTCCTACAGAAGGAGGCCCAGGTCACAGAACTGCAGGACTCTTTCCCTGGTTCCACCGAAAAGATGCTCTGTGTGCCAGCCACAGGGGGACTCGGGGACCCACAGGGAACTGGACAGCAACAGCCCCATTTCTTTGTCTTTACTTTTGTTAACCACCACTCAGTGAGGACGGAGCCTTGCCGGCCCCATGCTGAGTGTTCCATATTCACTCACTATTCCTCGGCAGGGTTGGGCACCAGGTGACAAACCTTCAAAGGGGCTTCTGGAACCACAGCCTCGGCTCCCTCATTTTCCTCCTTCCTGAATCACACACCTCAAGTGCAAAGCTCACTTTCCCCTCATCCTTTCCAATCAGGATGTCACACCCCGCCCCCAACACCAGTGACCACCTAGGGGTCAAATCTGACCCTCAGCGCAGCTGTGCCACAGAGAGAAATTAGTGTTGCCTGGGGAAGAGGCTCTTTTTAATCACATCTCTTAACTTTTTTTTTTTGGTACTGGGGATCGAACGCGGGTCCTTGTGCTTGCACAGCAGGTGGTGAAACCACTGAGCTAAATCCCCGGCCTGACGAGGCTCTTTTTAAAAAAGTGAAAATATGACAGCGTTTTGCTCAATGATGTAAACATTCCAAGAAAGACAAAAAATGGCTCAGGAAAGTGCAGAACTGGTAAAGCTAGAGGCCAATTGCACTGTACTGTACAGTACTGTAATTTCTGCTGATTGTACTATAAAGTCCTGTAGCTTTATGTTCTGTTATACATTATAGTGCTGCATATAAGAGTGACGCCAATAAAAGCAAAATCATCAAGTCGGAGTTTCCTTTGACCATTTCTGAATATTGTCATGTGCACACTATATACGATTCCTCATTTAGCAACCAAGTCATTTAATGATCTAGTCACAGGCACGGAAACTTGACTGTTAAATGTGGAATGTCTGTAGCTCAATTAAATTAAATGAAAAGTGCAAGGCCATACAGCACATGCCACCTTCTGTGTAAGAAAGATTAGTACATGTGTGTGTGAGTGCTAACTGTCCCAGAGAAACCTAAGAAAGATTCATCAGGATCCACCGCAAATGGTCACCGGGGACGCACAGGAGGAAGGTACTGCAATTAAGACTTGCTGAGGCGCGCCGTTTTATAGTTTTGATTTCTGAACCATGTAAATGCCTTATGTGCCAAAGTCAAGAATACTAAACAAAAACTAAAAAGCAGTAAAGGTATACCCAGACACTCAATACAGACAGAAATAAACTGACCTAACTGTGCATCCAATTGATCACATGACCACTTAAAAAGAAGACAGTGAATTCCGGAAACTTCTAAACCCAGAACTCTCCTCTTGGTGGATAAACTGTATAGACAAAAATAGTGGCCAAGGAGCCTTGTGCTCTCCTTAGCACACTCGGTCACTTCTCAGCCTTTCTTCTAAGATCAAGGGTCAAACACGGCACATGTAGCAGTAGCAGGGATAGGAACTGGGGAACTACCTTTGTTGTTAGCAGGTAGAGAGAGCAGTACAGACATTTTTGTACCCAGGTTCTCAGTGCAGATAAGGACACAGAAGGAGGGGACCTGTGGGTGCTGAGCCAGTCAGAGGTGTGGGTGTGGGCTCCCCGCTCTCTTGACAGGACAACACAGGAGAAGCCACACGTGCCTGCAGCTCCCTGATTCTGACAGCTGAACGCTGCTCCTCTTTAAATAGGAGGAATCTATTAGTCCATAAGTGCGTTGAAAAGGAAAGGAAAAAGCAAGGTGGAGGGAGAGAGGGAAAGCTCCTGTTTACAGAAGGAGATGGTAGCTAGTGTATGGGAAAGCAGATCCCGAGAACTCAGCCATCTGTGGCCTCCAGGTGCTAAGTGATCTAAGAGATGAGCATCTACGGGGATCAAAGTCACGGCCACAGGGCTGTGCGTGCCAGGACAGCTACCTGGCCCCAGAGTCCCACCCTCCAGGGACAGCTGATGCATCACAAAGGCAAAAAGCACCTTTCCAATGGAGAGCTGTGCTGGCCGGCGCGTTACCAAGGGACCGGGGCTCTTGGGTCCCCAGGGACAGCCTGGCCCCACCCATGGGGCCTGGACATGGTCGTGAGAAAATCCCCCACACACCCGGGCAGCTCGGTCTTCTGTGGGACAAGAGGCCTGGGCCTTCAAAATTGTCATGAAAGACAAAGAACGGGAGAAAGAAAAAGAAAGCGGGGGTTGTTAACTTAGAGGTAAAAGGAACAGAAAGAACAGGACCATGGGACGTGCAGCTGGGTCCTAGACCAAAACAACAGGCATGTGGGGGACGACTGGGGACATGTGACCATAGCCCACCCCTGGGTCATTTTCAGAGCCAGCTGTGATAATAAGGGTGCATCGGATCCCGGGCCTTTACCCAGAGCACCCTACAAACGCGAGAGGCCAGGCACCTCCCCTTGGCTGTGAGCTCCAGGACACGAGGGACCAAGTCTGTTCTGCGAGTCACTGTCTCCCTAGCACCCAGTCATGAGACGCTGGATGAAGAGATCATCAGGAACAGGGCTGCACACCTGTAATCCCAGCTACTTGGGGGAGACCGAGGCCGGAGGACTGCAAGTTTGAGTCCAAGGGGCAAAGCAGCCCAGAGGAACTCACTTGGTGTTCACCCCGTCTCCTTGCTCCCCTCAGCACAAGTGCCCAATGGGCGAGATGCTCCAACTGCCCTGGGAGCTGTGTGTGACTGCCGTACCCCCAGAGCACCCACTGGATGGCCCATGAGAGGACAGGTGACACGCAGCCACGGCAGGCAGAGGAGGTGCAGTCCACGGGGCCCCGGCAACTCACCCAGAAGCTTCTGCAGCACCTGCCCGTCATACAGGTCCTCTTCCAGCTGCTTCACGATGATCCGCTCCTCCACCAGGACATTATTGATCCAGTCCAGCAGCACCTGGGGAGAGGCAGGTGTCATGGCCTCGCTCTGCCAGCACCGTGCAGCGGATGGGAGGGATGCAGCTGCCCAAGTCGGTCCAAGCCCCGGGACAGTGGGGTTCCAAGCAGGCAGCCTATACACCCACTGTGGTGACAGGGAATCCTGGGACTCCCCTGGGTCTCCTGGCAGGGAACATAGGCTGTCCACTGGGAAAGCAGGTAGAGGGGGATTTCTGTGCAGTATATTCCTATTTTCCCCTAACTCAGAAATATTAAATCAGACACATGCTCTCTGGAGGGACAGAAGTAAAAACAGACACAGGGAGTGCTGGAAGAGAAGGCAGGGTGCGGCCTGGTGCGCTGCGCTGGTGACCATCTCTGAAAACACAGGACAGAGTGGCCCTGCACCCTCTCTGCAGTGGCCCAAGGAGCACTTTCCCGGGAGTCCTCCGCCTTCTGCTCTCCCACCGCACATGCCCATCCTGCCTCCTCTCTGGGCCCCCTGAGGTCCCCTCCTCTCCTGGTAACATCTCCCTCCCTGTCCAGTTCATGGTCCTGTGACCGACAGCACTGGCCCTAACACAGGGACCTGTCCAGTCCGCTGCACAGTCTTTTAGCCCAGGGCCCCACAGGCATCTCTGGCTAAACTCAGCAACTCCTTTCCTAGCAAGGACACGGGACACCCAATCACGGGTCTAGGAGCCTGGACCTTCCCCTCTCACCCCACTTCTGTCTTCTCTTTGACCTCACCAGGGCAGCAGCTGGCACCCAGGCTGCCTCTGCCCAGGTCACAGTCTGAGGGCCACCCAGGTCCATGAAGCCCAGCCACACAATTCACACAACACCCCCTCTTATGCCAGGGATTCAGACGCCTCGTCCCCTGACCCAGACCTGGAATGTCACCCAGGGGGCTCCCTCGGGCTGACCCAGCACCCAGGCCCCCGAAAACACACCCACAGCCACAGAACTGAGAGCCCTGCATCAATGCCCCTCGGGAACCTGCTCTGGCACTTAGTGAGGCTTTACTGATCCACTTTATCTGTTTGGTTGTTTGAAAAGTGTGTACTTTCAGCTTAAGAGCTATGAGTAAGTGAACAGATACTCAGGGTGCCCAAAACATACGGTGAATGTTTAAATTTGAAAAATGATTACAATAATAGACACATTGCCAGTAATCCCTCTTAAAGTACCCGAAATCCTCCCCCTCACTTTGAAAACACTTATCCCATTGTTTTTAGCAATGAGTCTTCTACTGTGATAAGTTTGTATTAATTTCAACATTCACCCTATTTTTGATCACCCCTGTACACAGCTCAGCAACCCGCGCCCACCCTCCTGGTCCTCAGAGCCCTCCCACAGGGGCTTCCTCCCTCTGGCCAGGCTGATTCCTGCCACCCCTCGGCCTCCCCATCCTCGGCCATCCTGGTACTGGCCAGCCACCCACCCATAGCAGCTGAGGCCAGCAACAGCCTGCCTCTGCCTCTCTGATGGCACCCAGAGAAGCCCTGAGGCCGAGATGCCACAGATACTAGGTAAATGACCACTACTAATGTTCGAGCTGTCTTTTATAATTTTTGGCTAATAGCTTTAAACCATTTTTATACATAGAATTTCAAAACATACCCTAAAAGGGCTGGTCTGCTGGGGTACATGCCCATCTAAACCCCTGAACTGTGACAATGATGGGGTCCAGGACACAGGTGACTTCAAGAGAGAACGACAGAACCAGGCATGGTGGCTCACACTGTAATCTCAGCACTTGGGAGGCTGAGGCAGGAGGATCACTGTGAGCTTGAGGTCAGCCTGAGCTACACAGTAAGACCTTGTCTCAAAAAAACAAAAAAGAAGAAGAGAGAATCAGGGAAGGCCGACTTCAACCTACAAGCCCTTAAATCTGGTTCCACAGGGCAGAGGCTGGGCACTCAGGGTACTATGAGAAGAACAGGTGTGTGGAGATTCTCCATAGCTGGCTGAAGACAGGCCCCATATAGAAGGGTGTGGCTGCCTCCCAGTGCTGAGAGTAGAATCTTCTCCCAGGTCTCCAGAAAGGAACAGCCCAGCCAACACCTGGACCTCACCCTTAGGGACCCTGAGCAGAGAACTGAGCTATGCCGCACAGGACTTCTGACCTGCAGAACCATGGGCGAGCACTCAGCAGGTCTGCAGCTGCTGAACTGGAGCAGGGTATAGCTTGGCAGCAGAGTGGAGTGCATGCTTAGCATGCATGAGGCCCTGGATTCGAGCCCCAGCCCTGCAGAAACATAATCATCATCATCATCATCATCATCATCATCATCATCATCATCATCATCATCATCATCATCATCATCATCATCATCACTGAACTGGTGATCTGCTACCCAGAACAGAAAGCTAATACAGTGCTGGACCCTCACTAATTCCCAGCATCAGCCTCCTATAACATTGCCACAGTGTAGGGACGGGGATTTAGCTCAGTGGTGCCGCCACCTGCCTCACAAGTGTGAGGTCCTGAGTTCTACCCCTGGTACCAAAAAAAAAACACCAAAAAAAACCATTGCCACAATGTAAAGGACACAGCGTGGTACAGATTTCAAGGGCTGTGTCTGAGACCCAGATGCATCACAGTTTTCACTATGTTACCTGGAGCTACCAGCTTAATATCTCTGGACCAGACTCTTCATTTAAAAAAAACAAAAACCTAAGCCTGTGTGACACCCAGAAATTCCAATTCCAGTTTATCCAAAGGCACTAATCCGAGTGTGACCCTCGGGCTGGTAAAGAAAAATGAAATACACTGAGAAGAGGACATAGTGCAAATGATCCACACTGTTTCCACCACATGTGCCTGCGTCTGTGGTTCTCAGCAGCAGATAATACTTTGGGAGTCAGAAGAGATAATATTAAGCATCATTCTTACAAACCAATGACCATCCAGACGGCTTCATTATAGAAATGGACAAGCAGGTCCGAAAATGCAGACGGGAATCCAAGGGGCCCAGAAGAGCCAAAACAACCTCTCGAAAGAAGAGAAAGCTTTGGAGCTTCACTTTCTGATTTTGACCTCACTACAACGCTCCCGTCACCCAAACTGTGTTTGACTGACATCGAGACAGACAGGCCCGCAGATAAAACCGAGCCCAGAAATAAACCTCGAACTGCAGCCAGTTGGTGTCAATGAGGGGCCAAGAGAACACTTCAGGGAGCAAACGGTTTTTCAGCAAATGACTCTGGGACAACTGGACATGGGCATGGATAGGGCAGTGCTGGGCCCACTCTCAGCAGTGGTGCTGAGCATTGGTGGCTAAATCTCCCCTCACCATGGGACTGGCACAATTTTCTCCCACTCTGATAGCATCTTTGGAAGCTGTGACCATTGATCCTGATTTGTCACCCTGACTGGATTGAGAAACACCTAGGGGATCAGTGACGTGGGCTTCTGGGCAGTTCAGGGCGGGGCATGCCAACATGACCTTGGTTGCTACCTGTGGGCTCTAACAGGTTTCTCTCTGGCACCGGCCCCTGCTCTGCTTCCTGACCCCCACGAGCTGAGCAGCTTTGCTCCAGGCCCTTCTGCTGTGCTGTCTCTGCCTAGGAGCAGCCAACCATGGACTGAATCTCCTGAGACCGTGAGCTAAACCAAACCTGTCCTCCTTTGAGTTGTGGGTTATCTGGTATCATGGCTCAGCACCAAGAAAGCAGATACTGAAGCAAAAGTTTTTAATTTTCACTAAGTCCATGTTACCTATTTTTTATACTTAGGCAAGCACACTGTCACTGAGCTACATCCCCAGCCCCTATTTTTTTATTCTGCTGCTTGCATGTTCAGCATCCTATCTAAGAATCATTACCCAAATTCAGTCACAAAGAGTCACCTCATGTTTTCTTAGGTTTAGCACTGCAAGCCATAGAAAGTGCTTCCTTTAAGTGAAAAGCTGAGAGTTCTCAACTTAAGGCCAGAAAAAGACTCATACGCTGAGGTTGTTAGGGAAGAACGCATCAGCTCCCCGGGACGTTGTGAGGGAAGAAGCATTCCCTGCTGGTTTTGCTGTTGTGCTGTTATGGCCATGTGTCTGTTAGAAAGAGCTAGTCCCTCCACACTGGGAGCCAAACTGAGAGCTTTCAAGGGCATATAAGGACACTGATCATCGTGCGTCCCTGCCACCTTTACGACTGCTGTCCTCCTAGCTCACTGGGCTCCAGCCACACTCCCCTTCTTGCTGGTCCTTAAAACACACCAGGGGGCTGGAGATTTAGCTCAGTGGCCCCACGCCTGCCTCGAAAGCACAAGGCCCTGAGTTGGATCCCCGGTACCAAAAAAAGAAAAAAGATAAACACGCCAGGCACACACATACCTCAGGACTTTGCTGCTGTTGATCCCACGTTCTTCTCTCAGGTATTTAGCAAAGGCCTCTGCTCAAATGCCTGTCCCTGCCCACCCCACCTAAAATGGGAAAGGGCCTCTGCTTCCTGTTCAGTTTTCTTCAAAGTACTCAGGGCCACCTGGGCACATGTTCACTTGTCCCCTGTCATGTCTGCATCTGTGAGTGGGGCCTTTGTTTCTCTCAAAGCCACATCCCCCGAGGCTAAGACAGGAACAGAACCCCAGAGGGGCTCAGACAAATAGCAGAACTGCCAAGGGCCAGCAAGGAAGGCCCTTGGCCCCCAGACCCTGGCGCCAGAGGTTGCCTTACCCAGAGCACTGACCTCTTAGATGATGCAGCAGAGAGCACAGATCTGCTCCGGAGAGACTGGAGCTTCAAGGACAGCAAGATCATGGCTGGATCTCTGGCCTGGCCGAGCCCGGACCAAAGACCACAAGGGGAGAGACGCACATGAGACTGCGAGACTGGCCACACAGCCAGCTCTGAGATGCCAAGACGCTGTGGCCCAGGTTCCCCACTGCCCTGGGGGGGAACAGCAGCTTCCTGGGTACCACAAATCACCCCATCCTCTGATTCCCAGCCATCTGTCTTCACCTGCTGTTTCACAAGATTTTTTAAAGATAGCTCCCATCATTATTTTTAGGGACACGCTCACCTGCAGACCCTGAGTCCTGCGGGCAAATGTCTGGGACATATATTAATTATGTCCCTGCCCAGCAGCCGTCACGTACATTTTATGAGCCTGCTTTAACTAGAATAAAAAATTACTTTTCCTTTAGTTCCTTCTGAATTATAATCAGGATCTGCAGTCTGCCTCCCCCAGAGCTGTGACAGTTAAGTTTTAATCACTTCCAAACAGAGTCCTGGCCACGGAGCCCTCAGAGGATGCGGGCTGAGCCCCACAGGCCTGGCAGGGCCAGTGGGGACTGGGGCCAGGGCAGGGGCGGGGGGCGGGTGTTTCCACTTGGCCCCCACAGCACTGGCTGCAACTCAACAAGGGTTTCCATGCAGCTGATTTTCTTCCCATTGCAAAGGGATGAAAAATTTTTTTGAAGAGCAGGAAGAGTCTTGGTCAATAAAACAGGAAATGAGATGTGAAATTTGCTCTCAGGAACAAATGTGCATCCCAGGAGATGCGGTCGGCTGCTTCAGATGGCAAGCTTAGGAAGTGTCCTGGGGCTACGTCCCCATTCCAAAGCACATTGTTCCACTTCTCAGATTCGCCAGCCTCCTCCTGCTCAATCGATTATATTGACTGGGAGTCAGACACCATAGGTTAAGAGGTCTGTCCCATAAAACTGGCCTGAGTTCAGATGACAGCCTCAAACCGGATCCCCAGGAGACCCACTCTTCTGCTCACAGACCATGCACCAAGGCTTCCCACGTAGGGGTTGAGAACTAGGGAGAACAAATCAGTTGAGGTACCTGCTCTACTTAGGGTTTCTGGTTCACTATAAAGGAAAATGAGGGCCAGGGATGCAGCTCAGTGGTACTGTGTGTGTCTGGCAAGTGCCAGGTCCTGAGTTTGATTCTTGATACCAGGAAAAAAAATTTTAAATAAAGGAGAATAAGTCCGGAAGAGTCAGATGAAAAGAGAGGCCTAGGGCAGGGTGGGTGGGTACAGGGCTACCACGTGTTCCTGATACCCAAGGTCACCTCACTAGCAGTAAGCCCCGTCCCTAAAGGGCTCCTTGTGAATAACAAAGACACTCCCATTATTCAGGTAATTCCAAGGGTTTTAGGACCTCCGTGCCAGGTTTGAGAGCAAAGACCAAATACAGATTTTTTTATTATACCACAGCATGAAGACCTTTCTCTAGCTGAGCCCAGGAATCTTTCAAGAATCATTACAAAGAGTGAAAAAAAAGACCTAATGTGTCATCTATAAACTGCCCTCTGCCAGGGCAGTGCTTGCCTTTTTCAAGTAAGGAACCCATCTGGAAGATGCCAGAGTAAATAACTGCAGGAAGAAACTCAGCAGAGAAGATGCCAGGTCCACCTTTCGGGCTCAAATGCACAGAATGAGAGTGCCAGCGTCCAAGCTGGGGGCCAGGCCTGCCCAGCTCCTGCTTGGCTGGAGTCCAGGAAGTGACCCCAGAGCCCCCTTCATCCCTGATGTCACTTCTACACCAGAGGCTCCAAGCTGGTTGTAAATGGCCACGCCCTTCTCAGGGCCAGCTCAGCCAGGGCCAAGGACTCCCAGCAGGAAGCAGAGGGCACTCAGGCTCTAAACAGAGACATCCTGAAGCAGCGGGGAAGCGCTGAGGAGGGACAGGAAAGGCAACCACAACAGGGGGGGTGAGGGGAGTGCAGAGGAAGAGAGCCGAGAAAGGAAGGAGAGCAATCGTGTGTCATCCTTGAACAGGAAAAGATCCCCTGGTCCCTAGACTGCGTGTGCCACAGGGACAGCCAGCTACAGCTACTGAGAGCCATCCGCCCCGGCCCAGGGTCAGCATGCTGGATGCTCTGCTTCTCCCCAGACCCTGCCTGGGGCTTCGGGGGTGGCCTCTGCTGGAGCTGACTCAGGTGTGGTCCCCGCCCAAGGGCTGGTGGCCACCCAGCTGAAGCCCTAACCCGCCAAGGCCCACACACCTGTGGTCTCAGGTGAATGGGGAGAAGCATAACACAGAACCTATACAGGAAGGGGGTGAGTGTTTCATCCCCGCAGCCCCTCGGCCCAGCACGGTACATAGTTCCCACCATGGACAGACTCGAGGAGCCCGGAGCCATCACAGGGAGGCCCCACGGGGAAGCAGGGGTGCCTGCAAGTGGCTGCAAGGCAAGGATGCTTGAGCACAGAGCCCACGGAGCCCAAGCAGGCTCGCAGGTGAAGCAGCGTCAGCAAGGCCCAGAAGGCAGTTCAGTCCATGTGTGACCCTGGCAGGGCCGCGGGAGCCCAGGGAGCTGGTGAGGTATCATTTCTGGGGCCTGCAAAGGTGTTCCCAGGGTGAGCGGCATTTGGGGGGGCAGGTATGTAAGGTAGACGGTTTTCCCCAGTGTGGGTGGCACCCACTTGAGCAGCACCCGGTCTGTCAAGGTCTCAACAGTACCAAGGGCAGAGCCCAGGGTGGGCTTAAACTTGAGATCCTCCTGCCTCAGCCTCCCAGAGTGCTGGGATGACAGCTGTGCACCACACCCATAAACACTGAGGTGGCAAAAAAGTTACTTTTCTTAAGGACATTCCTCTGAATAACAAAGTGGAGATTCAGGAGAAAAAATCCTTAATAAAATAACCTAGATGATTTAAGTGGTTAAGAACCAGTGTCTCGGGGCTGGGAGTACAGTTCAGCGGTAGGGAGTTAATGCTACCATGGCCTGGATCAGAGCGGTAAAGACACACACCGCAGAGAAAGTGGCACAGCCGAGACGCTGGGGAAGAGTTGCCCTTCTGCTCCCAGGAAGCTGCAGCGCTGCACCCAGCCCTCAGTGCTTCCAGGACTTTAGGGGACCAAGCAGCCAGCGGGTGTCAATGTTTCTAATGAGGCAGATACTGACCGCCAGCCAAGGGGTGCAAAGCCCGGCAGCAAGGCGCTGGCGTCCTGAAACCCACCTTGACCCTGGCCTTCTCCAAGGGAGCGGATTCCAGGCCGGGCCACACAGCACGTGGCGGTGCTCAGTGCCAGGACCAGTCCTCCGTGGTGTGCGCCCGGCACTCGGGCCATGCACAGCCGCTCTGCTGCAGCACTGAAGTCTCTTTGCAGAGCCCGGGGCCTCAACTCCCTCTGCCCAAGACAGCCCTGGTGCAGAGTGAAGGCCTCGCCCTACCAGGGACACTGCTTGAAGGTCAGACCTCCTCACCTTGACCAGCTCCTTGAATTTGGGGTCCTCCTTGGAGGTGGGGTCTATCATCGTGAGCTCCTCGTTCTCCTCTGTGGGCATAAGGATCACAGTTAGGAGTGCTGGGGCAGCAGGGAGGCAATGGTGGGAAGCAGACCTCGCATTCCTGGGTAAGGGTGGACATGGCCAACATGCGTGGAAATCAAACCCCACAACACGGGGGCAGGACCTCTGCTTTTGGGGGTGAAGCCAAACTCCATCATCCCGCCTGGCCGGCTCCTCAACCCCACCGGAAGCCAAACCCCTCCACTGTGAGGGACAAACAGCAAGAGAGGGAGGGCGGCATTGACAGAGATGGGAGCAGTGTCCCAGCACAGATCTGATAGGAGACCAAAGCTTCCGGCTCCTGCTGGCACTGTGAATAAACACAGGGGAGAAGCCAGGAAGGAAACCATGGAAAAGGCTGGATCCATTAAGCAGGGAAAAAATCGGAACGCAACATCATATGTAAAACAGCGGGCACAAAGGAATATTAGAAAAAGGGAGCCAAATAAAAACAACAAAGGTGACATTTTCCAGTGAAGTGTGTCTGTCCCCAGCCCTCACTCCCTCTTAGTTTCCTCCTTGATCAGGGCTGGATGCCAAGGTGCCACCCCTCCCTGGAGCCTGGATGTCCCCTTATGGGGCCAGCCCTGACCCAGGTCACACAAGCCTCACTATCCAGAGGAAACCGGCAGTTCCCAGCCCCCCGAGGGAAATCTATTTCCTAGGGTTCCTGTTGGTCTAGATCGGAAGCGACATCATCCCTCCCCAGGGACAGGTGGCAATGTCTGGAGATGTTTTTGGTTGACCCACCTGGCATTAGTGGGTAGAGACCATAGCGGCTGCAAAGATCCCAGGGCCTAGGATGGCACCAGTGGCCACAGGACCAGGAGGAGAAACCTGCTTCCATGCAAGAAACCGCCCAGTCCACATCCCAGACCCACGTCCCCAGGCAGAGCCATGAGCGTCTGCCCAAAGAAGCTTCAAGCCATAGACAACTGACAGCCCCACCCTTGCGCGGAGGACCGGTCTCCCAGGAGGAAAGGACCCATGGGTTCTGGTGGATCTGGGGGAGATGGGCCAGCTCTGGGGCCCTGGTTGCCAAAGGGGACCTGCAACTGCTCCCTTCTGTGAGCTCCTGTAGGCCTGGCTGTGTCATGGAAAACGAAAGGATGGAAGGGACTTGCCTCTGAGCCAGGGCTGGGGACAAGCAGAATGCTCCACACTTCCTTCCACCTCGACTGGATCCCCATAATGCACCTGGACTACACCCCACTTGTACCAGGCAGGGAGCACGGGGGCCTCGGCCACTCGACAGGTCCCACCCAGCCAGCCCCAGCCTCGAGACTGCTGTGGCCCTAGAGATTGTCCTCCGGAACAGGCTAACTCCTAGAGACATCACCAGGCTCCCCCGGAGCTTCCCTAAACCAGGCCACCACCTGCCCCCCACTGCCTATACAAGGCTCCCAGTCCCCAGGCCAACCTCACCTGACTCTGTCACCCAAGCAGGTACCAGAGAATCCAGGATGGCCCTGGGTCCTGAGCCCACTGAATTAACCAGTCCACACCATCAGGAGCCTGCCTGGCCTGCCGCACCCACTCCTGTCAAGAAACCCAACACTGGTGTCGCCTCACTCCTTCTGCCTCCTGCCTACCCTGGTGCTCCTGTGTGGCCCTCTGAGATCTATGCCCATGATGGCTGCCTCCTCCTTCATCCCTAACCTGTGCTTCACTGAGCCTGGGTAATAAGGCCTGCTTTTTAAGACAGGGCAGAAACCTAGACAGGAAGACCTACTTTCTCCTCAGGGCTTCTATACACATGACCTTGACTAAGACCCAGATGTTCAAACGCCCCCATCTGGTGTCCAATCAAAGGCAGAACCACTAGGATCCCATCAGACCCAGCGAAACCAACTGAACACCCAGGTGCACAGTCTGGTGACAGGAAGTCAAGGAGGTGACTGTACCAAGCTGGGTGTCTTCAGGGTGGACATCCACGGAGGCAGCAGACATCGGTGAGTTGATGGCACTTTTGCCCTCTTCCTGCAGGTCACTCACTGTTGAGAAAAAAGAGAAAGAAAACCATGGTCAGCATAAACGGAGTCCCATGGCCTCATACTGGCTGAGGAGGAGACAAAGGTAACCACTTGTTTTCAGGTTTAGCAAATACTCCTCAATGGCTGGAGGCCCAGAAAGAGTCCAAAGGAAAACGTTCGGGGCTAAGAACCCATCCTATAATTCTTCCTGCACCAAATAGTCCCCAATTCCTATCAATACCTGTCTAATGGGTCTCACTGCTCTTTGGAACACATGACTAAGACACAGAAGCTTCTGGATGCTTCTAGAGACTTGCAGGCCTACCCAAGGCTGCTGTAGCAGACAGAGCTTAGACCACAGCAGCAACAGGGCCACAGATAGCCACATCCTGAGCCATGGACGCGAGGTGTGAACAGCCCTCCAGATGGGCATGGCAGGGAGAGAGACCAGAACTCAACAAGTGCTGCTGTCCAGGGCCACATCCATGGGGACAGAAATCTGATGGATGTGCTCCTATGATTTTATGTTGCCTGCATGTCTATTTTAAATCTTTTGGGCTTTCCAGACCACAGCAGGGCTCAGTCCCCTGGACACGCTTCCTAGCCACACACATCCACCCCAGCTCCCTGGTGTGGCTCCCCCCACAGCTGTGTGCTATGACCCCTGCCCCACGGGACAGCCAGATGCAGCCTGCCTGGCCCAAGTAGCCCCCTCTCATCAATGTGTGCGCTTGGCCCGCTTGATCTAGACCACAGCTCCCCCTGGAGCCAGTCTGGCTGACACTGTGGCCTGGAGGGGCCCACTCTCTCCCACAGCACTGCGTGTGCACCCAGGATCCATGGGTAATCCAACCTTTATCTCTGTCTGTGACTTTCCTCCTCACAGGGGGATCCTCTCTGCTTTAAGGGCCCAAGTCAGTATCCTAGCAATAGCCCAGGTTGGGGCCACGGGGACAGGCACAGGACTGGAGGGAAGAGACGCCAAGCTGTGGCCCGCAGAGCGCCGTGGAAGTGCTGGCTGTGAGCTAAGAGGCACAGACTGAGTCCAGAGCAGCAGAAAGGGCCTCTCATCTTCCCTGGCACCAGAGGGACCCTGCAGGTTCAAGGCCACAGAGTCAGTAGCAACAGCCGCCCACGTGGACTTGGGGTGAAGTCTCGCTGTGGGACAGTGCCATCTCTCCAGGGTGTCACCCTGGCCGTCGGCCCCAGCTCCCATTCACCTGACTGTCTCCTCCTTCACACAGCACCTGCAGCGAACTTTGAGGACACTCCCTCCATCTCAAAGAGATGACAGCAGCAGGCCCCAGGACCCTGGTGTCTCTCACATCAGTCAGGGCCGGGGATTTGGCTCAGTGGTTTCACCACCTGCTTCGAAAGCGCAAGGACCCGAGTTTGATCCCCAGTACCAAAAAAAAAAAAAAAA